AAAAACCCCCAATGATTTTCTTTCTTTTTTAGAGAACTTCTTTCTTAAGTCACTCTTTTAGGGTAGATCTGCTGATGACAAATTCTTCATCTGCAGATATAATGATTTTTCTCTTCATTTCTGGAGTACATTTTTGCTGAGTATAAGATTCTGGGTGAACAGTTCTTATTCTTCAGCCCTTAAAAAAGCTTTGTTCTTATTCCATCTGGCTTTCTTGATTTCTAATGAGGAATCTGCTGTCATTTAAATTGTTTTTCTTTTATATATATGTCATTTTTTTCCTTTCTATATGTCATTTTGTACCAGCTGCTTTCCAGAGTTTTTTTTTGTCTTTAGATTTCAAAAGTTTGACTAAAATATGCCTTGGTATAATTTATTTGGTTTTCATGCTTGTGATTCTCTTCATTTCTTGAATACATATGTTATCTCATTTCTAAGTTTGGGAAATTTTCAGCCATAAATTCTTCAAGTACTTTTTAAACTTGCTCATTTTCTCTTCCTTTTCATGGTTTCTAATAACATAAATGTTAGGTCTTTTGTTATATTTTCATAGTTTCCAGAGCTTCTATTCCTTTTTTTTTTTTTATTTCTTTTCATGTAGTTATTCATATTGCATACTTTCTTTTGTTCTATTTCCCCAACTGTTTTCTCTGTGCCTTCTCAGTTCATATTTGTTCCATTCAAGGAGGTTTTTAATTTTTTTACTATTTTTGATGATTATATTTTTCAGTTTGAAACTTTTTGTTTGTTCTTTATCCTTTATTTCTTTGCTGATACTTCCTAATTTTTGCTGTTTCAAATAAGTACATAATTGCTCATTAAAGCATTTTTATCATGACTGTTTTCACTTTCTATCATCTCTGTCATCTCAGGTTTTGCACATACTATGGTCCTTTTTTATATTTTCATTTGCTTTGCGATCTTCTTGGTACTTGGAGATCAAATAACTTACTGAAAGCTGGACATTTTCATGTTTGCCATGGGACACTGGATCTTATTTAAAGCTTTAGTTTTAGCTGGTTTTCTCCGCAGCTGTTCCTTCAGAGGAAAGGAAAAGTTTGCTGCCTCATTACTGCCAGGTGGAGGCAGGATTCTAAGTTCCCCTCTAGGAAAGCATGTGGCAATAGGCATTCTGGTTGTCCCCACAAGGTGTTCACTGGCGCCATGGTGGGGTTTTCCTTATTGTTCAACAGTAAAATTCTTCTGTGTCCACTAGGTTTCCTCTCACTCAAACCTAGATAGATGGGAAAAGGAGAGCTACAGAGAACCCTCATTATTGTGAGTGGGTGTAAAAGTCCAGGCTACCCTTCCAGTTTATACTGACACTGTGGAAAAGCAGGGCTTGTCAGCAGCTATGGAGATAAGTATCCCGACCCTAACTTGGCCTTCTTGTCACTACCATGAGGAGGGTGTTGGAGTAACTGGTGACAGCTTTGCGAGGTGGAACGTGGCATTTGCTGCCATGGTGAGATGTGGCACCACTGATGTGTCTGTGCTGTTTGGTGGCAGTAGATCATTTATTGCCTTGTCTATGCCTTCTCTGCAAAAGCAGAGGTTTCAGGGAAGTAGGGTTTTAAGGGCCTGAATTAGGGAGAGGATATAACATGCAGGATATCATGTTTCATGTAAAAGCATTTGGCTTTAATATGAGAATAATTAGAGATGTTCAGAAATATTCCCATTGCATTCTCTTGAGTTATGTATGGTGGAGCCACTTGCTGAAATGAGTTTGAAGGAGCATTAAGTATGTAGGAAAATCATGTGTGTTTAATAGCGAATATATATGATATACATATTTTCCCCTTACAGGTTTGGAGTTTAGAAAGAAGGTTATCTTAATTGAAAATAATTAATATATTATATTACGGACACCACTGGACACAAGAAAAAAGATGGAATTTCCTAGATGTAGGTTATAGAGATAAGAAAAAAGTAGGCCCAGAAAATTTTCTTGAGATAAATCAAAATATAGAAGTTGGGCAACAGCAGGATTCAGCAAAACACACTGATGAGAAGTAATGTGAGTAGTGTATGGGGGATGGGTATTGTTGAGTGTCAAAAGCCAAAAGAAGACCAATTACAATAAAGCTGAAATAGAGGTTTAAAATATAAATATTGAAATATGGCCACTAGGGCTGGCAACATGGAAATTACTATTTATTTTAGAAAGAAGTGGTTTTGTGTTGGGAAACGCCCTTCCTGGTTTCAGGGACTGTAACTCCACCTACAGGTGAGACAGCCCCAAGGACGGAAATAATCAAGGAGGCCTTGGGGAAACAGGCCACTGAGGAGACAAAACCTGTCCCCCTGGCAGGGGCGCAACCCCTGCCTCCGTCCTGGTCAATGATCCACAACGGGTAAGTTTTTCTCATGTGGAGAAAACGACCTAAGACAGACATCGGCCCATATGGACAGTGGGACGAGGACTTTGGGGGACATGGAGAAAGGGCAAAAAGGTCCGCACCCCTCGGCTGGGCTCGGCTTGGACCGGGCCAGGGTCCTCATTCTGTCTGAGAGAAGGCTCCTTATCTCTGGGTGGCTCTGCCCGGCCCGTCTGGCTCAGGCTTGGAACAATAGGAAAGGCAGGTGCAGCCCTAAACTGGATCCGGTGGTTCTGGTTCGGAAGACAATCAGGCCTAGAAGTAAGTTCCTCTAAGCGTGCCTTTGTTCTTCCCTCAAAAGCTATGATAACTGGCTCCTACTGGGAAGGAGATTTACATTATTCATAGACCCTGACCTGAGGCAGAGCTTTTGTGTTCCTCCAGTCGTTATCTATGCTCTCTATTTGGTTTCTGTAAACAAAGCCTCTTGACATTGATTGATGAGCTTTGCATCCACACCCCTGTGCATGTGGTTCTCAGTAGAAGCCTTTGGACGCGGGGCCCTCTCTCCTCTAGAGGGAAGAACCAGGTCCCCTCCCCTGGCCAACAGAGAAGTGTTTGCAAGGACTTGTGTTTATTCCCCCGATCCGTGACAACCCCAGAACGGGCTCTGCGGGATTCAGAGCCCCGCTCCCTCCTCAGCTGGCTGTGGACAGTAACCCTCCGATCCAGGAGCCCCACGCTCCACCGCGGTGCTCCCCACAACGCGTCACTCCCTGTCACACTTTTGATTGTCGTCACCATATATGAGTGGATATGACTGGAGGTGACTTAGAGTGAAAGGTAAACGATGCAGTCTGCGTATCTCGTAACTCTTCCAATTTCTGTGTGAGGGGAACCCAAGACAGGAGAGAAGCTATAGGAAGGTGAGTTTTCCAGGCAATTTAGAATGTCCAGAACATGTTATTTGTTGATACAAATGATACAGTAAAAAGGGGATGTTAAAATTTATGAGAAGGTGTTACTACATGACAAGGTAGGAGAAATCTAACTTCAAGCACCAGAAATACAAGGCTTTGTCAGGACAGACCCTTCCCTTGACTTACCAGGAAGGAGTTAGAAGGTAACATAGAAATGTTGGGTATTTAATGATGGGGAAATATGAGTTTTCCAATTGTCATACTTTATTTCCTAAACAAACAATAAGATAGTTGGTTTCCTGAAGGGAGGGCAAAGGAGAAAATATATTTGAAGATCCAATGAAAATAAGAAAGGTGTGAAATGGGGCATACAGATAAATGAAGATGAGGTTATTATGGAAACATTAAGATATGTTGAGGACCCATTTTTACCACAAAGCTTCCTAGTAAAGTTATTGACTATGATTTATGAATCTTATAGTTACAGCTTTCAGATAGTTTAAACTTATTTTTATTATATTGTTTTCTTTTATGTCCTGCCTCTTTCTTGCTGAAAGTATTCTGGCCATACAAAAACAAATTCTGGTATATTAAAAAAATATTAAGTGAAGTCCTTAACTAAGTATTCAAACATAGTTACATTTTTTTATGTTTGGAAAAGATACAAGTAAGTAGCAAAATATCTGAATGTACATTTAAAAAAAAACACTATTGCTTGGCTTGATGTTATTATAGCATCTGGTTCATGGATCATAAACAGTATCAATAGGAAAATAAATATAATATGCAGCTTTGTACTATAAGTTATATTTAGTGTGCCTCTAAATATGTATATAAATCTTTGTGCACATAAAATTATACTGTCATAAACAATTTCTCCTTCCTTAGAGAGCAATGATGTGTACTGATTTTAAAAATGCTGGCTTCGATTCAGAAAGTTTGTTGTTTTAAGATCTTGCTTGACCACCTACAACATGTTTGTAAATCTCTGTATACAGCTTTGTGTTTTTCACAAGCTTTCTATTCCAGTAAGAACAGCTGGTGAAATTAGGTTGCTGTCCTAAATTTCAATTAGAAGCCATTGGTGTAAAGCTATTTTCAGGATCATTTACTTGGCTCTGGAATAAACACCTTTTAGTTGTTAGAAATACATCACTTCACTAATGTTCAAATCATAATGGATGTCATCACAAAGTTCTGAAAAGTCAGTGTATATTGGTAGATTATGTATATAATATATATTATATATTGGTAGATATATATAGTTTATATTAGTAGGTTATATAGTTATTATAAAGAACAAATACAGATTTGTCTTTTAATTTTTATTATATAGTATTCACTTTTATTCGTGGTGGGGGTTTGATTTTCCTTCACTTTTATTTGAAGAAAGGCTACACTGAGATTTATAGAGACCTTTAGAATTTTATAAAACCTAAGGTCAGCTGGTTTAACTCCATAATTTTACAAATAAAATCACTAGAGATATACTCAGAGAACATAAATACTATGTGCCGAGTGGGAACACCACAAAGTGACAGACCCACCTTTTGAAATCCTTGGTATTTGCCTTTTCCAATAGAGCACAGGATCTTCCTTTTATTATTTTCTAATCGGACTATGCTGAGTGGCTGTGTGTTCTTATAGAAGAAGGGACTACTGGAAAAAAGGGTTGATTAATCATTCTAAAATTAAATGACATGTATTAGAGTTTTGAGGGTTCAGTAGATAATTTCTCCCTCCTTTTTTTCCCACCCAGGTTTGAAATTGCATGATGACTAGAAAGAACAGTTGGAAGTGAAAATAACACCTTATCGTAACAAAAATATTTGAAAACTGTGTCTTGGGCTTGCAGATATCTTCAAATTAAAATTATATGCCCTATCATTGGCTATAAGTGTTTGGTGACTATAACTTGTAAAATTAGTGCTCAGAACTGCAAAATTCCTTGCAGAAGACAGATTACAAAGAGAATCAGAAGGGCTTGAACATAAAGCCTCTGTTCATCATACCAAACCCATCCATCAGGTAATTTATTTATTCCCTGTTGGGAGTCCAGGAAGAGGCCTGCTGATGCCAGGGGTGATGCTCTAATGGAAGCTCCTATCTATGCAAAAGTGAGGGGTAGAAAAGAAAAACACGCCAGATAGTATAAAAACATGGTATTACTCATCACGTCCCCTTAAATTCCAACAATATTGTACTAAGCATGACTGTGGCTATTGTTGAATAATTTGGAAGTATAAGTTCTATATCTCTAGATTCAAAAAACTGTTAAGCTGGAAAGTTGAAAATTAAGAAAATCATCATTTCCTTCCCCAAATCTCATTCACATCCCATCTTTGCCAAACATGGAACTTATTTTAGATATGATCGAAATTAAGCCATGGTTAAAAATCTGGCAATATCAACTAACAATTTATTAAGTAATAAAAATTAACACTTTTAAAAGTAAAAATAACAAAAAAAACTAGTACTGTTAAATTAAAAATATTCCAAACAATTATATTATAAACTGATTTGGAACAAAATCACTGACCAGCTCTTTAACCAATGGTTAACTAATCATTTAACCAACAATTAACTCAAAATAACCCTCTAGTTTCTGAAGAAAAATTGAAAAATTTGTTACCAGAATTTAGTGTGGGTTTTTTTTTTTTCTGAACTTCCAGACATGTTTACTTTATAGAGTCATCACCAAGAGGGATTCATAACTCTACTCTTCATAGTCCATAATTTTTTCTTTCTCTTGATATAATTTATGAATTTCATAGCTTTCTAAAGATGGTTTTGGAGTTATATTCATAAATACTGTTCTTGGGAGAGTAGTGTGTTATGGACTGAATATTTGTTTCTTGCCCCCAATTAAAATATTAAAACCCTATTCTCCAGTGTGGCACCCTGACTTAGACCTTCAGCTTCTAGAACTCTGAAAAATAAATTTCTGTTGTCTAAAGCCACCTCGGATGATACTTTTTTATAGCGGTCTGAAATGAGGCATAATGATTAGAGGTTAAATAATAAAATATGTAATTTATAGAGGGTTTTATAATTTAATTCTACATATTATGGACATGTCTTTCATTTCCTATATTCTTTTTTTCTTATTTTAAAAAAGATTTTATTAATTTATTTTTAGATAGAGGGGACAGGAAGGAGAAAGAGAGGGAGAGAAACATCAATGTGTGGTTGCCTCTCACACACCCACAGCTAGGCATCCATCCCTTAACCCAAGCATGTGGTCCAGCCAGGAATCAAACCAGCCACCCTTGGGTGCGCAGGCAGCACTCAATCCACTGAGCCACACCAGCCAGGGCTCATTTCCCATATTCAAAGAATCACACAATTCTACTAATATCTAATGTATTTTCTACTTTTCACAGCCACTTCTTGGTGTAAGTCCTCATCTTCTGCTTAATCTAATATGGCCTACAGAATTTCCAACCTATATTGTTTCCATTCTAAAATCTACCAGACTTTTGCTTGTAATATTTCTAAAAGTTTACTGTGGATAAGTCATGTTCACACTTAAAAATCATCAAAGACTTTAATTTGAACAGTGGCTACTAGCAATAATCAGGTTGACTCATATAATTCACTACAATGGAGGCATGTACCTTTCTGGATGATTTATATTAGAGGTTTACTCTCCCATGTTTATTAAAATAAATGCCACAGATATTAAAACTCTTTGGGTTATAAATTTAAGACAACTGGTCATTATGAAGGCAATATAGATAGAAACATTAAGTTAAGCACTTTCCACCATACTGCAAAAAGCTGAAGATGCCAAGAAAAAATACACACAAAAACACTAAATTAGACCAGAAACTAAAATACAAAAGTGAAAAAAAGTCAGTAGCTTCAATATATATTAAGCAGAATTAATAGAGATAAAAGCAATAGAAAATAAATGAATAATTATCTTGTTTTGTTTAATACTTTAGTAAGCTCACAACTCAAAAGCGTACAGAAAGAAATGGAAAAGGTGTGTCATTTTTTGAAATACTCAGTATCTCTACTCAAAGACTTAGGTCATACATCAGAAAATTCGATCTGAGTCTTTCCAAAAACATCCAAAGGAGACAGGGTAAAGCAATGGGGGAAGGAGTCATTTTACCTGTGATTCCTATCCCGGAAAATGAAGTCTCCATGAAAAATAAAGGTGCTAATGAGGAAAGAAAGACAAAAACCTTCCAGCAGACCATATTGCAATTTCTTTTTCATGATCTCCATCAGTTCTAATTGCTTAATAGTAATGTGGTGGGAGTCTGAGATGCCGTTATCTTTTTGTGTGAGGAAGTCTCTGGGTGTAAGTCTCTGGGAAATAAAAGTTTAAATGGAAGTTTTGGGCATCAATCTGACATCCAGCTCAATTGCAGCTGTTAAATACAAAACCATATGGAGTGTCAGGGTAGGGTTATCCCTTGAAACTAATCATTATAAAAACTTTGAGGTTGGGCCAATATTAAACATTGTATGATATTAGTGAATGAGACAAATTAAATGTGAGACACAGGTTTGTTGAGTTCAGTGTATTTCACATGAAAAGTCAATAAAGGAAAGATAAAAACATGAATGTAAACAAACATATACATTTAAAATGATACAGAAGAAAACTCCAAAAGTCTTAATCATCAGCCACAGAATATGAATACAGTCAATTAACATTTGACAGAGGAAGCAAGCACTTACAGTGGGCTACAGATAGTTTATTCAGTAAATGATGCTGGGAAAATTGGACAGATGCATGCAGAAAAATGAAACTAAACTACATTCTTATACCACACCCAAGAATACCTTCAAAATGAATCAAAGACTTAAATGTTAGACATGAAACCATAAAAATCCTAGAAGAAAACAGGCAGCAAACTTTCAGATATTGCTCATAGATTTTTTACTGGATATATCTCTCCAGGCAAGGGAAACTAAAGAAAAAATAATTAGATGTGCTATATTAATAAGAGGACTAAATGGGACTACATCAAACTAAAAAGTTTTGCATAGCAAAGGAAATCATCAACAAGATAAAAAAGCAACCCACAGAATGGGAGAACATATTTGCTGACACATCTGATAAGGGGTTGCTGCGAAGAGTGCAGGCTCTTGGATCTGAGGGTCACAGTCCAGGGCCAGCTGAGGTGGGAGCAAGGGCTCTGATCCCGCAGAGCCTGTCCCGGGGTTGTCACAGATGTGGGCAAACAAAATGAGTCATTGAAGAAAATTTCTCTGCTTGCCAGGAAAGGGGAAGGGGCTCTTCTCTCTAGTGGAGAAGCCCTGAGCCCCCATGTCCAAAGGCTTTTATTGGGAACCATATTTGCAGGGGTGTACAACAAAGCTCATCAATCAATGTCAAGAGGCTATGTTTGCAGAAACCAAATAGAGAGCATAGATAACGACTGGAGGAACACAAGAGCTCTGCCTCAGGTCAGGGTCTATGAATAATATAAATTTCCTTCCCAGTATGAGCCAGTTATCATAGCTTTTGAGGGAAGAACAAAGGCACGCTTAGAGGAACTTACTTCTAGGCCTGATTGTCCTCAGGAACTGCGGGATCCAGTTTAGGGCTGTACCTGCCTTTAGTATTGTTTCAAGCCTGAGCCAGACGGGCAGGGCAGAGCGACCAGGAGATAAGGAGACTTCTCTCAGACAGAATGAGGACTCTGGCCCTGTCCAAGTGGAACAGAGGGGTGTGGGCCTTTTTGCCCTTTCTCCACATTTCCCAAGTCCTTGACCTGCTGCCCATATGGGCCAATGTCTGTCTTAGATTGTCCCTCCTCTTGAGGAATCTTACCTGCTTTTGACTACCAGCCATGACGAAGCCAAGCAGGGTGATATGAGGGAGGAAAGGTTTTGTCTCCTTAGTGGCCTGTTTTCCCAAGGCCTCCTTGATTATTTCCAGCCTTGGAGCCCTCTCATCTGTCAGTGAGGCTACAGTCCCTGAAACCAGGCAGGACAGTCCCAACAAGGGGTTAATATCCAAAATGTATAAAGTACTTACAAAACTGAACACCAAAAAAAATCAAACAACCCAATTAAAAAATGGCAAAGGACCTGAATAGACAGTTCTCCAAAGATGACATACAGATGGCCACTAGACATAAGAAATGATGTTCAAAGTCACTAATCATCAGAGAAATTCAAATAACCGCAATGAGATATCACCTCACAGCTGTCAGAATGGCTGTCATCAATAAATCAACAAACAAGTGCTAGCCAGGATGTGAAGAAAGGATTGAAATCTGCTTGCCTCTCACAGCTTTTGCACTTTTGGTAGGAATGCAGACTGGTGCAGCCTCTGTGGAAAGCAGTATGGAGTACTTCAAAAAATTAAAAATGGATCTAATTTTTGACCCAGCAATCCCACTTCCGGGAATATATCTGAAGGAACTCAAAACACTGATTTAAAAGAACATAAGCATACTTTTGTTCACTGCTGTGTTATTTACAATTGCCTAGATATGGAAGAGGCCCAAGTGTCCATCAGTAGATGAGTGGATAAGACAACTATGGGATTCTATGCGGCCATAAAAAAGAAAATTTTACCTTTTGCAACAGTATGGATGGACCTGGAGAACATTATGCTAAGTGCAATAAGCCAGTCCGAGAAACACAAATACCATATGATTTCACTCATTTGTGGAATCTAATGAGCAAACTGAACTAACAAGCAAAACAGAGATGGACTCCTAGATGGAGAACAGATGGCATCTATTGGGGGTGGGGTTAGAGGGTAGAGGGGTTGAGCAATAAGTGTAAAGGACTCATGGACATGGGCAACAGTGTGGTGTTTCCTGGGGGGCGGGATATAAGAGGTCTAAATGGTAATGGACAAATGCAATAAAGATTAAAAAAAGAAATAGGGGTATATAGACATAAGATCAATGTTCAGATAACAGAATAGAATGATAAAAAGAGAATAAAGTTTACAATGAAAATATAATAAAAAATAAATAGGTAAGGTATGGCAAGTATGCA